CATTTTCAGCTGGTATATAATGTTACCTCATACCTGAATATCTCCTATTGTGCGTTATAGATATGAGTGTTAAATGAATATGATTAATCAATCCATGCTTCTATAACAAAGGACATTATGATAAAATCAGTAGAGATTTATCAATTGATTGGAAGGAGACGTCAAGTACCGCAATAGACACAATATCAAAATATGAAATCTTCAGCAAACTAATAACATCCACCATTGATCTACACATAAAAACGGACACTGTCAGATAGTCAAACCGTTAGCGCAATAAAACGGAAACACAGAAGCTGGCGGAGATATATTCAGACACGAGAGGATGGGAAATACATCGAATATGTTAAGAGCCAGAAACAACGTAAATTTGTAAGTAAGAAAATGTAAACAGAATATCGAAAAAAATATAGCGGAAGAAGTAAAGAGCAACCCAAAGAAATTTTGGAATTACGCGTTCACCAAAACTAATACAAAACCCGGAATTCCGGAATTACACATTATGACAGGGGAAATAATCGAAATAGCCCAAACTGATGAAGAAAAAGCAAACGTATTAGCGGATTTCTTCTCAAGCGTTTTTACAGTCGAACTACCAAATGCTGAAATACCCGTCCTAAAAGATTACAGCACATCGAATCCATTCACTAACACTAAAATAACGAAAAAGAGGTTCTAGATGATTTGAAAACCTTATATCCGCCAAAATCTCCTGGACCGGACAATATTCATCCTAGGGTAGTAAAGGAATCAGCAGATACATGTGTATCATCAAAACACCTTTGTGTAAGGTTTTCAATAGTTCGCTTAAAATTGGATAACTTCCGGATAGCTGGAAAAAGGTGACAGATACCATTAATGCACAAAAAGGGCGACAAGACAATACCAGGGATCTTTAGACCAGTCAGTCGCACCAGTGTAGTAAGTAAAATCATTGACAAAAATATAAGAACAAGAAAAAGGGACCACTTGGAGAGAAATAATTAATTAAGTAAACACCAATATGGGTTTGTCAAAGCAAGATCAACTGTACTACAACTACTACATGTCATTGATAACTGGACTGAAATTCTCGACCACGGAGGATCAATCCAAACTTTGGCTTTGGATTTTATGAAGGAGTTCAACACTGTACCTCACAAAGCTTAATTGTCAAATTACATCCATACAGACTCTCGCCCGAAATTATAAGTTTGATATAATGTTTCATACCAAATAGGAAACAAAAAGTATCGGTAACTGGCGAAGTATCGAAATAGATGGATGTTACCAGTGGAATCCCACAGGGTAGTGTCCTTGGCCCATCATTATTTGTAATATATATCAATGACTTACCAGAAACAATAAAAGCAACAACATTCTTATTAGCGGATGACACAAAAATGTATATTTACAGCAAAAGAAATATATATAGGCAAAGCCTTAAAAGAGCGTAGCTTTTGTTGAGATAAGATACATTTTATTTAAAGTGGGTATAGTCAAGGAATAACAATAAAACACAAGCTCTAACGAGATAACAATAGGGAGACCGAGGCAAGTTTGACTTTTATTTTGTTTGTTTCTATAAAAGTCCGTTCTAGGAAGTATGGCAGCACGTCCGTTTTTGAACATTATTTAACTTTTCCTGTCGGAAGATCGGATGGCCGAACGAGCCCCGCCGTGGGGGTAAGTTCGGCCCTCATTGGAATCAGCTTAATTATGACGTCATAAAACATGCAACGTCAGATTTTACCGCCAATTTTACGACTTTTTTTGTGTTAACTACATGGGCCGACCTTGCCACGGTATTATTGGTCGAACCTGTTCGGACCCAAATTGATATTTCAATCAATTCTTATCGTATAGCAATATGTGAGTGAGTGATTGGCTTGGCTTTTATGTATTATCATTTGAAGTTGTCAGTGTGTTACATGTTTGACTGTAAAAAAGTAGCATTCCGTTTCAAAAGGTTCGCATAACTAGAAGCGAGATCATGATTTTCTTTCTACCCTCTCAAAAGTAATTTTCTCCTGTTAAGTCATTTTACATTAGAGTGTTTTCCTCGCCATGTTTTCGTCGTTGAATGCCCAGCCAACTAAACTGCTGAGATCCTTAAAGTTGTAAATATTAGCTCAAAAACAAAAAATATCGTGGATGGCCGAACTTGCCCCGGTCTCCCGTATGTAGATTTTTTTTTTATATCATTGATGATTGGTAAAAATGTATTCACAATATAATTTTTGCATTAATGACGCCATTTTCTTCACGTATATGATGGGTCTGGTGGCGTAGTGGATAGTGCGCTCGTCTTCACCAAGATGGCCGGATTCTATCCCGGTCACCTGCCCGACCACGCGGGTTTTCTCCGGATACTCCAGCTTCCCCCCATATCAAGAATTAAACCCTCTGCGTGCTTCCGTAAGGGATTGAATTTCAAATTTTGACGGGTAATGATGCCAAATAAAATTACAGTGTCTGTCTGTAACTAGTTATAAATCGGCACGCGTTGTGAACAAGTAATACGTTGCTGAAAAGGAGCGTTGCACTTGGGTTGGTTGTCTGGAATATTATTGTTAATTTCATCATAAATACGTTTTCCATTGCTTCTTTTATGAGTGGTGATGCATAAATAATGTAAAGACTATATCCAGACTTGTTAATGTTAATTATTTCGTTCATATTCTCAACAAATGGAAATGAAAAGCTGATGAAATTTTAAATTATCTCTTTTTGAAGATATCTCCCGGTAGAAATATCAACAGAACCGGGTTGATTACAAAAAAGATCTTCAGAAAATATCGGCATTTTTACTTTTTGTGCCTTTGGAAAAAATGGAAATTAAAAAAAAGTCTTGAAGCACCGACAAGATATACATTCCGGTTATTTTTCATCCTTCCGGAAATAAACGATGAAGGCCGATGGATTGTGACGTTCTTGTGACGTCATAGTATCATAATTTCTGAACGAAGTGTCATGCTTGTTAGTATCACATTTTATGTAATAGACTTTTTCACTCAGAATGTATTCATTTTTTATCTAAATGTTTTCACTATATGAAGATATTCATGTATGGGTTGAAACACAATTGTCTTTGCTTCAAGGATACACTTCCTGTTTTCCCACTGGACGTCTACTTCCGGACGAAAAATAATAAAGGCAACGTGTAGCAAGGGGAAGCAACTCTGTTTACGCAAGCATGTGTTATCATTAAAGAGCTTCGCTACGCTCTTATTAACCGCCAAGAAGACCTAGACCAGATCCAAATATGGTCAGATACTTGGATGTTGAAATTTCACCCGGAAAAATGTAAAGTACTTTCATTAGGAAAAAACTGTTAATAACGCGCCGCTTTATTTACGCAAAGACACCAATGAAAGGAGGATACACGTCGTTTTGGAAAACGTAAGCAAAGAAAAGGATCTCGGAGTAATCACAGATAACAAGCTTAAATTTAATGATCATATACACGAATCGGTAAACAAAGCAAACTGCATTATTGGAACAATTAGAAGAACGTTTACATATTTAGACGCATCAACGTTTTGTCTGCTGTATAAAGCATTCGTTAGACCATATCTGGAATACGGAGCTAGCATATGCAATCCATACCTACAAAAGGACATTAACGAAATTGAAAGTGTACAAAGGAGAGCCACAAAACAGATACTAGGAATGAAAGACCTAAGCCATCAAGACAGATTAGGGATTTTTAAATTACCAACTTTAAAACATAGAAAGTTACGAGGAGATAAGATACAGGTTTATAAACTAATACATGGATACTATGACACTTCTGTAGCAGAAGGCTTTTTAAATATAAACGAAAACAAGAGGTGATTGCTTACAGATGATGGTGATTCTGCATCTTGTGACATCCTTGACTTGTAGTCCGTCACTGCTGTCATTCTAGTCGCGAAGCCTCATTTGACGTCATCAGGTGATGGCCAGCCCTCTTCAGATGTTTCGACCCTTAATCACTACACCCTCCGGCTGGTGGGTCAGTAGTGGTGGCCAAACCACTACTCGTCTATGTCGGCTTCCACACCGGCTCATCTCGTTTGTGCCATAGCCAGCACGATGCTCTCTCTGCAGCTTCTCCCAATCGTCTGATGGCGGTAGCTCTTGCCCTCCCAGTGAGTCATATTTACCGTAGTGTCCTCCACACTGACTGTGCGGGGAAACCTCTACAGCCAACCTCCACTGGAAAGAGCCATACTGTCCATCCTCTGCTCCTGCACTTTTCCATCAGCTCATCATACTTGGCTTTATTCCTCTCGTGAGCCTCCTCGCAGCCTTCCTCCCATGGAACGGTGAGCTCTATGGCGATGAGGTGTCTGGATTGCTCTGTCCAGATTACCATGTCAGGCCTCAGTGTTGTTTCCACTATTCCTGGAAACACAAGCTTCCGGTCAAGGTCAACCTTCATCTCCCATGTTGACGCCCGTTCAAAGATGGATGAGGTGCTTCGAGGCTTCACTGTGGCTTTCTCCCCTGGTTTCACAAACTTGATACCAGCCTGGTTTGTTCTTACACCAGTTCTTTTCTTCCTTCTCTCCACTTCAAGGATATCCGCTAGGACCCGCAAGACGTTGTCGTGCCTCCATCGGTATCTACCCTGTCGTAGTGCTTCTTTGCAACCAGACAAGATATGAGCCATTGTTCCTCTTCCTCCGCATAGCTTGCAGCAAGGATCCTCCGTCAATCCCCACTGATGCATGTTAACAGGAGATGGTAGCGTGTCATTCAGAAATGATATCCGGAAGGGCTCCATTCTCCATATTTCAGCCCAAGTCATCTTCCTCTCTTGGAGATTCCATCTGGTCGACGCACCCTGTTTGCTGAGTTCTACAGATTTCCCTCTCCTCCTTTCCTCCTCAATCCTTCTGATTTCTTTCTGCACCATTTGCCGTCTTTCTTGGGTATTTGCTTTCTCCCACTGCTGGAAATGAGAGAAGCCAACTCCTTGTCTTCCGACGCAGGTATTCCCGATGATATCCTTCAACTCGAGCATTCTCTCTGCTTCACCAACTGCAGTGCTTGTCTTTGGAGTCCCTCAGAGTCATCACCAGCCTGCATTTTGCTACCTTGAACTCTTCAACGACCGATTTGAATGGTAGTTGTAGTTCTGCCGAACAACTGAACAGCCCAACTGATGTGAAACTTGGTGGGACCCCAAGCCACTTCCGCAGGTACCCATTCACCATCTTCTCTAACCCTTCTACTGTTGAGGTTGGTATTTCATACAGTAGCAGCATCCATGTGAGCCTTGGTAGTATGCCATGCTGGTATATCCATGCTTTGTACTTTCCAGGAAGTCCCGACTTGTGGATCTTCTTCATCCACTGGCACACTTGGCTTTGGGTGTTCTTGTGGTTCTGGCTGTCACTGAGTGTGTCGTCAAACCATTTCCCTAGGCACTTTATGGGGCTGCCAATGATTGAAGGTATCTCCTCCTCTTGGACCTTCAGTACAAACTGTCGGCTGAGTCTGCCATTCCTCATAATCATGCAACGTGATTTCCGAGGTTTGAACTGCATCCGTGCCCATGTAACTACCTCCTCCAGCGCGGACAAGACCCATCTGGCCTGTACATGTGTGGTGGTAGTGATCGTTAGGTCATCCATGAAGCCTCTATTGGCTGGTTGGTAGATGCCAGACTCCATTCTAGGTCCTCTGGTTTCTCTCTCTGCTGCCTTGATGATGATATTCATTCCCATGATGAAGAGTATAGGTGAAATGGTACATCCTGTAACTATTCCCTTTTCCAGGTCTTGCCACGCTGTAGTGCTTTCCCCAACTGTAAACCGCAACTGTATCCCTCCGAAGTAGCTCATTATCATTTTCCGGATGTGCTCCGGAATATGATAATGGTCCAGGGCTGCCTCAATCAGTTTGTGTGGTACAGATCCATAGGCGTTTGCAAGATCTAACCATACCACTGTCAGGTTACCTTTTTTCTGCTTGGCTTCTCTGATCAGTTGGCTGATGACGCTTGTATGTTCTACGCATCCTGAAAACCCAGGGATTCCTCCCTTCTGACTTGAGGTGTCGACGTAACTGTTTTCCACCATGTAGGCTGTCATGCGCTTGGCAAGTATCGAGAAGAAGATCTTTCCTTCGACACTCAGCAGCGATATGGTCCTAAATTGTTCAACTGTCTTGGAGTCTTTCTCTTTAGGAGCAAAGATTCCCTCTGCTTTCTTCCAGCACGCCGGTATGGTCCCTTTCTTCCATACTTTACAGATTAGCTGCCACAGTCTTCTTAGCAGTCTTGGACATTTCTTGTAAACCCTGTACGTTATCCCACTTGGTCCTGGGGCTGATCCTGATCTTGCCTTTTTCACCACATCTTGAATCTCTTTCCAGGTAGGAAGTTTGGTATCCAATGGTGCACTTGGGGCCTCTACCTCTAAGATTCTTGGACAATATCCTAAAGGTTCTGCTCTCCTGTTGTCTGAATGGACACCTTTGAGATGAGCTTCCACTTCCTCCTTCGAGCTTTCCAGATGGCCTGATCTCTCTGCTCCTAGCAAAGTTTTTGAGAACTGGAATGGATCTTTAACAAAATCTGCTCTTTTCTTCGCTCTCTCCTTCCTTCCCTTCCTTAGTCTTTCTGCATTCCTTAGGCGGCGAAGTGTCTCCCTAAGGTCGTCTCTTATCTGCTGTATCCCAACTTTTTCACTCTCTGGTGCTGTTTTAAACCTCTTTCCTAATTCCCTCAGCTCCTTTCGTAGTTGTTTGATCTTACGTTCCCTCCTGTTCTCCTTTGTTGTCTTTGCTCTGGGTTGTGTTCTGGATGTTTCCACTCCGAATCGCTCTTTGCATACACTGTACACAATTGACGTCAGTGCTTCTACTTTCCTCTCCACATTCCCCTGTAGAGTGGTCTCCAAAATAGCCTCCAGGTCCTGATCAAGATTTCGCCAAGCTGCCTCGTCATTTGTCTTGGGCCACTGCACTTTGTCTAATCTCCTGTCCCTCACTGCTTGAACACCATGGGCGCTCGCTTCATTCAAGTTACCAATGCTGCCATCTGGCGACACCGAAGCTTGGAGGCTCTCTGTACTATGGTTTGACTCCTGACTGAGTTCCTCCTGCGTCTCACCAGATTCATTGCTGATATCTGTGCGCTGCGTTAGTATCTCCCTATGGCCACATTTGGTCCTTGCCTGATGGATTTTCAGCCCTCTGCTGTTCTTGCATATCTTTCCACAATGGCATCGTGCTTCGACTGGCTCTCCACTTAACGTTGTTTGGATCATCGTTGTGTTTGTCCGTGTCCTGGTCGTTTCCGTTTGATCTGTCCGAGTGAGCCTCTCATCCTCCCCCCCTCTCGGGAGGCTCTGGGGGTGTTGCTCTTTTCTTTGTTCTGTAGCTTGATATAGGTGCCCCCTTGCGGGAGCTATACTTCGAGTTGCTGACACAAAGTACCCTGCTCCAGTCTGTTTCTGGATGTCATCTGTCTCTCCAGCGTCAGTGGTCTTCCCCAGTTTCCATCCAGCCTTTCCTGGAAGTTACTGATTTCTCAGAAGAACGATGATTGCTTACAGATGATGGTGATTCTGCATCTTGTGACATCATTGACTTGTAGTTCGTCACTGCTGTCATTCTAGTCGCAAAGCCTCATTTGACGTCATCAGGTGATGGCCAGCCCTCTTCAGATGTCTTCGACTTAAAAAAGGAATGTCTAAATTGAACTTATGAAAGTATTTCTTTAAAGAAAGAGTGGTTAACCATTACAATTCCCTGCCAAATCACGTCGTCACATCACCAACAATATAAATGTTTGAAGCCCGGCTGGATAAGCAAAGGGGACAACCAGAATGTTTTTATTATCATGAACTTGACAATAATGAAAATATCCAATGTCGGGGCGTCATCCTAGAGGCTGACCATGCATATAATCTGGATATATAGGCTTTTGCCTGTGTCCAGTATTATTATATTATTTTATTATTATTATTTTTGTAAAACATTAGTCCTAAACAGTTAAACTATAACAAAAAGATACATCTTTGGCGGAGCATATTATTCCAAGCATCATATGCTCCGTTTGGTCTAGCAATTTCAATATTCTGTATTCACTCACATTATGAAAAATGGCTTGATGGTCAAAGCGGAGACGGGCGAGACATAATGTCCCAATATTTTTGCGAACGTAAACGATACCTTTCCCCGACAGTTTCAAATAAACAAAACAATGACACATCGCTTATTGAAGCTACGAATTAGGTTCTAGGCATACTTCGTTTATATTTACAGGTAAGATGGGCGGATTGGTCGAGTGGTTAACGGCTTTCCACGCAGGCGGCCGGATCCCCGAAGTCGTCGTGCTGTAGCATTCAAGTGAGATGGCACTTTAGATGACACCGTTGGAAGCATAGTCCCACTACAAACAGAACACAATAACATCCAGCATACACACAGGCATACACACATAGAGAGATATTAGCCAGGTGGCATATGACTAGTAGTAAGAGCCTGATAAGGCAGCTCCTGCAAATTCCTCAAAATTGTATTGATTAATGTATATGGTAATTTAACTGATTGTATAAATTGTATATTTATGTATTGTAAAGCGCTTTAGCGTGACTTATTCTAGCTAGATATGTCGCTTTAACAAATGTTGTTTATTATTATTTGTTATTTTTAAGACAAAAGGTCTGAAATCGTGTCTGAATCGAAACTGATAAAACCCACCATTTGAATGTCATGTTCGAGCCACAGTCGTAGCTTAAAGATAGTTATTGGAAACTCCTCTTATAAATACGTATTTACGTAAAATCAACTCATGTCTTACCATTGTTGTATCAGTATACAGTGAATTCGTAACAATAGGTGCATCTTGCCGAAAATAAACGGTCTTTATCAATTTTTCTGGTGGTGAAGGGTTGGACATGTTACTGGCTTCGGTCTTTATAAAGGTATTTTCATCTCTTTACCTTCTTAACGTTTTCTTCATTTCTCCTTTGTTGTTGTTACCATTCTCCTTAAAGTTCCCACATTGCTATTCTTTTTGTGGTATTAAGAGCTTACTAATTTCAAGTTAAAAGTTACATCACTCTATGTTACACATATGTATATAATTAAAGATCTAACAAATATAACGGTCATAAGAATTCGTCTCTAGTATACTGGAATTAAAGGCTTTCAAGTCTGGTCAATGGGTTGGCATTGACTCAATCGTAATTGCGCAATGGTCAAATGTGTTAAACTGTTTAAACAACTTGCTCTGAACTAACAAAGAGACCATGGCTCATGATAATCTCAAACTGACGCAACAACTGTTGTTATAAACTGGCAAAGTAATTAAGCATTGCACAATAAAAAAAATTCTACAAAATCATCCAGATTTTCTTTTAGTAAAACATCTGACAGCTCGAAACATGTTTCGTTGATTCGTATATGAATTTGCTTCGAAGTACCAGTAGTGTCTTTATTGATTTCAGACCAATTTAATGTGACATCTGGGAAGCTAAAGTTTAGCATCACGGATAACAATTCATTATAAGTATAGAGTAATAATATTTTGCTTGTTTTCAGATATAAAAGGTACCTCCAACATGGCTGAAGAAACACCTTCAAATGTTATAGATATCCATAACAAAATGGTTTTACATTTGAGTAACAGAATGAGTAAAAAGGAGTTAAATGCTTTGAAAAACAGTTTTCAAGATAACCCACTTACCGATGTTGATATCCACAAAATAAAAACTGTGCAGACACTGTTTAGGCGTCTAAAATGCAACATGTTCATTGACTATGGAGACTACGACAAATTCGTATCAAAGCTGGAGTTAATAAGACCTGACCTGTGTTCAATTGTTGAGAAGTGCACTGCGGATATTCGCGGAATACTCCACCAGGAAGATACAGGTATGCTATGATAAATATTGAAATGGATTACAATTTGCTTAGAACTGTTTAAGATCTCAACAAAAATAATCAAATATTGGTCATTTCCCTAACTGCAATAAATCAATGCCTATTAAAAATATATAAAAAAAAACAATGTTAATATTCGTGATCCGAAATTGGATGGCATTTTCAAAAAACTCGGCATTCATCCGAGGATTGCCAAATATTCTTAACAAATCTGCGCAGTAGTACACACGACAATTAACGATATTTTACAATATATTGTTCTTTTCACTGACGTATCCACTGATGAATTGAAAGTCGATGGTTTCCGCATTTCTAAGCTTTTGATGATGTAACCCCTGATAAAAACTGTTAGTAATCAAAACTTTATCGACCGATGCAAGTTATTAAAACCATACTAGCTTCTATGGTGTCATTATGCTGAATTTATAAATCTTCCATATTTTCGATACCAAATGCTTCCTTCTTTTATATTTTTTACAATTTCTGTTTCCAAGAACATGCCGGAAATAATAATTACGGTTTCGTTACTCCTGGATTCAGTAAGTGCAAATGTGACTTTCGTGCATTAAAAATGAAGTCTTTTGAACATCGGATTCTATTGACATGATTATGTCCTTATCCAGAGAGTTGAAGTAGAGGGTTGGCGACTCATTTGTAAACATGGCGATAACTCCTGTTCACCGTGTGTTTCAGTTCTGGTAATGGTATTAAGGTAGTCTTCGCTAATGGTTATTTATAAAATGCAGTGCAAAAAAGAAATTACAAAAATTGAAAGAAAAAGCACGCCTACAATCAGTACTAATTAAGGCTTATATTTTGCGATATAATGATTTTGATATGGTTAATAATTCAATAAATTAATCATATAATTAATTAATATTGGCAACTTTGTTAACCGGCAAATAAGTCTTAAATGACGCGCAGTATGTCCAAAAAAGTATTGAATAATCAAATTTATTCGCCGCACATATTGTAATATATGTAAGGCAACATTTTGGAACACTGTGTTTTTTGACATTTCGATAAATTGTTTTATCTGATTGAACAATTGAAATCATTGAACTATGCAAAAACCCTATAATATTAGTATTATTATAAACAATTCTACTATTGATACAATCTTTCAACAACACAATTGTCTACAGAGCGCCCGGTTATATCAATGGATAAGTCAACATACCATGCGAGTGAAGGATCAACAGCATTTATCACCTGTACAGTAGATCCACCACCAGAGAGCGTTACATGGAAAAAGGGAGACAGAAGCCCACCACCAAACACAAGAATTCCCATTGACAATCGTAAATACTTTTCCGGGCATCCAACAGCTCCTACTCTTGTGATAAAGGAACCAACCAAATCAATAGATGAGGCTCACTACCAATGCAGCGCGAAAGCCAAATCAAAAGAACAGGATGGCGATATCGTACACTTGAAAGTGTGTAAGTATAGAACATTCGTATCTTTGATTCCAATGTTAGTTGGTTGTAAAGAGTTTAACGTATTATTAACAGCTAAGGTCATTTAAGGACGCTGACTCCAATGTATCTTAATTGTGTAAAGAATAACATTGAAAAATTAATACATTAAATGAAGTACAACTGCAATTTATTTTCGATTTTTTTTTATTAGAGCTGAAAATGTATGAATTGGTTCACGTTGTCATCTAAACTAGTTCGATTTGAAACATTGATAATTTGCGTGCCACTCCCATATATACTACACAATTAATACGATTGTTTTATTACTATGTGCCTGATACATACTGCCAGAGTTGTTATTCAACTTATTTTGAAATTTTAATGATTAATACAATCAATGCCAAATTCTAAGCAATCATAGTTTGTTATATTTGAGCATCTTTTTTTTCAAAAGCCGGAAAACTAATTGATCAAGTGATTAACGACTAGGTCATTTTACAAAAACTAAACAAAAAGCAGTACTTAAAATTTGAACATTTTTTGTGTATTGCAGCGGTTGAGGGTGAAACAGATGCGAGTTCAACCAAGAGTGTGTCATCAAACGATGATCCTTCTGAAAGGTATAGCTTTCATGGCAGTTAGAGTAAAAAGGACAATGCCTGAGATATTTGTCTGTAGCTAAGTACATGTCTATTAAATAATAAACAAAGGGTGGGACATGTAAAGATATTCCTAAGGTAAATATGACAAAGAATATGTGGAAATATATTTCAGATATGGCCAGATTCCATAACAAAGTAGACGTAGGAGACCAAAAAGTGTACAATGACTATACAAGCGATGTAAGCTATTTAAAAAGTATGCCGTTGATGAAATATTATTGTATTTTAGGAATTCATTTTAATTATACATGTATTAATATTTTATTTCTTTTTCTACGAATAATGCACGAAAAT